CCGCAGGTTTGCGTAAGCGTAATATTTTGTAACTTTTTAAAATATTTTGAAATATTACTATATGCAAAGCTTCATAATTTTATGATTCGTAATATTCCGTAATTTTACTATGTAATACTTCGCAACTTTTTAAAATATTTCGAAATTCTATGATGCGTAATGCTCCATAATTTAATGATTCGTAATATTCTGTAATTTTACACAACTTAATATTTCGTAATATTTCAAAATATTTTGATAAATAATACTTCATTTTCTGTACTATAAGTTTATATAATGTATGTTTTATTAGATATAATTTTATTAAACCATAAAAAATTACAAGTATTTATTAATATATACAGAATACATAAAAGTAAAAAAAAGAAAGAGTAAAGAGTAACAATATTATTAGACGTAAAAAGAAGAGAGTAACGTTAGTATTAGATATAAAGATAAAAGAAATATTGTTATTATTGTTAGTATTAAGGTAAAAAGAGTTAAAGAAACAGTAAAAGAAGTAAAAGAAATATGGATATTATCGTTAGTATTAAAGTACAAGTAAAAAGGAATAAAGAAAACGTAGATAGTATTGTTAGTATTATGACATAAAGTAACAAAGAGGTAAAAAAACGCGTTAATATTAAAATAATTAGTAATAATAAATAAATATTTATATACCTGCAAAGTAATTGAACAAAAGAATAAAGAAATAAAGAGAAAGGAAAAAACAAACATGTTGTTAGTATTGTTAGTATCATTAGTATTAAAGTACAAGTAAAAAGGAATAAAGGAAACATGGATATTATTGTTAGTATTACGACACAAAGTAATAAAGAAGTAAAAAAAAATGAAAATAATTAGTATTAATAAACAAATATTTCTATATCTGCAAAGCAATAAATTATGAAATATATGTAAATATATTGTATATAATTAAAGAAATAATAGAAAGAAAGAAGAGACAAAAAAATTAAAAATATTGAACAAAAGAATAAAGAAATAAGAGACAAAAATAAATAAGACAAAAAACGCATGCATGATTAAATGATTAAATTATATGCAAGGATTAGCCTAATTTTGATTGGCCAGAAAATACGATATCGTAAAATTACGGAAATCTGTATTTTAAAAAATCATGTACATCATACAGCGGGTGTGACATAAATAAATTGTGACTGAAATTTGTGTTCAATTTGTGTTCAATTTGTATTGATAATTCTGGTAAAAAATTATTAATTTTGGCCAAATTTCGTTAAATTTGTTAAATTTGTGTTAAATTTGTGTTGAATTTGTGTTGCATAATTTTTTATTTATTACAAGGGGATGATATTTAGTAATTGCATGTACGATGTACAAGATTTTTTTTATGATTTTTTTAAGAAATGTACACAAAATATTTAATCAGAATATAATTGTTTTATTTTTAAATATGATATATTGTTGATTTTTTTTTAAAAAAAAAAAATTGATTTTTTTAAAATTCAATAGAATGTGCTAATAATAAATTGTTTTATTTTTAAATGTGATATATTGATATTTATATTTAAAATAATTCATGATTTTCAATTATTTTTAATTAAATTAAATTGATTAAAAAAAAATTAATTTTTTTAAGAAATGTATGCGAAATATTTAAAATTCAATAGAATGTGCTAATAATAAATTGTTTTTTTTAAATATGATATATTGATATTTATATTTAGAAAATTTCTAAGTTTACACGGGGTGTTTGTACACGGGTCATATAAATATAATTTTTAATAGACTAATTTTTTGTTTTTTAATTTGAAATTGAATGCTACCGACATTATACTCTTTTACTTTTTATTCTTATTATATTACAGATAAATATATGTATTTTCACCTGCTCTGCAAATTTACTTAAGGCATTAAAGGAGGTTTTGAATGCCGTTTTTAATCTACTAATATGACCCGTGTTTAAACACCCCGTGTACAAATAGAAATTGCCTTATATTTAAAACAATTAAACATATACATGATTTTCAATTATTTTTAATTGAAATCAAATTAAGATTTTTTTTATTTTTTGATTTAATCATATTTATATTTAGATAATCCATATCCGCATGAGATTTAATTAAAATGTTTAATGATGAAAAGTCTAATAAATTAAATTTTAATTGAAACGAGAAATAAAATCAAACCAAAGAGGTATTGTTCAAATTTTATTTAAAGTGACATTTTACGACTTTCTTTCAAATTTTTACTCATCCCAAAATCAAATTATAAAAATCAAATCAAATCTAATAATGCTTCACCACACACGTTCACGTCATTCCCATTATAACGTCCATTAGAATTGGGCTATGATGGACGAACTTGTTGACATACGCCAAGAACAGAAACCGCGCCTACCACAATATTAATGGTAGAAGCCGCCATGATTTTTGGGACTCTGTTGCCAATAGGTTCATGTGACTAATATCTATAATTTTCTTTAAGAAAGAATTTAAATTCAAATTAACCAATCCATTTAATTGAATCAGAATAAATAGAATATTTAGAACGAGGGTTTCTGGGCAACAATGCAGCTAAAAGTGGAGGAACCTCGTCAGGGATTACCATGTAAGTAAATAAATAAAATTACATTCATATAAATTAAATGTATTTATCGAATATTCAAACTGATTTTGATATTTAGAACTATGTCCTTTATCGTAATGGTAACCCTGGGCGGCGGCTGTGAACGCGTACTGGCCAAAGATATTATCGCGAATTTAGAACGAGATTTTGAGAGAGGCCAGGTAATTATACTATAATAAAATAGTAGTGTCCTAAGACATATTAATATATTAATATGTTTTAGGACACTACTTGTTCAAGACTAATATGTCCTAGGATATTATAATCTAATAATTAATATGTCTTAAGACATTATAATCTATTAATTAATGTCCTAGGACGTTATAATCTATTAATTAATATGTCCTAGGATATTATAATACACATATTAATATGTCTTAAAAATGGGGTCTATTTTCTCTTTTTGTGACCTGTTGGTTAGTAAATATGGATGAGGTGCGCGCCTATTTGGTTATCTTTCTAGATGCAGAAATATGGTAAAAAAATATCATGTCGGGTGGCGCAGTAGATCTGTGATTAATTTCTGACTGATCTTTAGAATACATGATCTGATAGATCCAAGTTGGCGTCATGGTAGCAACCTGGTAGTGTCATGGAACTGTTATGGAGCTGATGTGGAATTGGTAGGGAACTAATAGGGAGCCAGAGAGTTTCTATTTGTTCGCCAGTTTTATGCCAGCTTAGGTGCCGAATTATTATATCCAAAAATCTGGCCGAAGTTATGGAATAGTGCTGGCCAAAATTAATTGAAATTTACTGCGCCAAAAATTTTGGGTAACGGACTAGTTGCGAGCTTATTGCAGGCTAGTTGCGGGCTCTTTCCCATTACCTTGCCGTCACATTCAAGGCAGTGGTTTGGAGATATCTGTTTGATTGCCGGATGAGACACAAAGTGCCGAATTTGCAATCCATCTATTTGCTAAAGATGTACCTGCCGAAACTAAAAAGGAAATTCCGAAAGGTTTCGGCCAATCAAATCAAATGCCGAAAATGCCGAAATTAGGCCGAAACTCGGTCTTAATTTTGGCCAAAATTAAAATTCGGCCGAAATTATGATATTGTGTCACGTGACGTTACACAAATTTCCAAAAAAGGAAATTTTGTTTCCCAGTAAAATCGGAGAAATGTGTCACACAAGTGTTACACAAATTTCCATAAAAGGAAATTTACACGTCGATCATTATTCCGGCCAGAATTATAGTATTAATGTTGGCCAATAATTTCGGCCAAATTTCGGCCTTTCGGTAAAAGTTTCGGCATTGTATAATTTCGGCAAATTTACTTTTAATTGTCTAAACTTTCGGTTTTAAAAAAGTTTCGGCCTTGGCCTAAACTACTTGATTTTGGCAAGCAACCTTAAATTCATGTACCGCAATCCATTCACTCACTTTTTGATTGCCGGTGAGGCACAAAGTGCCGATGTTGTGCCATTCTTGCAATCCCACCTTCTATGACCTTTTTGATTGCCGAGGATGAGGCACGAAATGCCGAATTAGTTCAGGCTATATGGCTTTTATACCCTTTTTTCGTGTATTCTCCTAAACCTTTTTGCCTTCCCAATCTCTTTCCTGCCTATCACCTGCTGGTGATTCACTCGAGCATAACTTCTTTTTTCTTTCCTACAGAGGGCGATCAAAATTATCCGGCCAGTTTATTTTGCTAAAATTTTGTAGATTATGATGTGTTAATGTAATATAAATAAATATAATTTTGTATTTATAATCACAATAAACAAATTCCCATGCTTCATATTTTTCGAAAATATGATATCACCTATTGTATAAATTTTATAAATTTTACAATTTTGTGTAAACAAACTTAAAAATCTTAAAAATATCATAATTCCGCCAATATTGGTCTGATAGACCTGTGCTTACCACCATTCGAATCGTCTCAATGAGACGGATCAAAAGAGTTATAAATCGTAAAATTTCAATCACAGGATCAGAAAATATCGTAGGTGACATTTAGGCTTTTAGAGCGTAATCATGTGATGAATATCGATCCTACAAATATTAAATTATTACCATTCAAATCCTCTCAGTGAGACGAATCTGATAAACCCAAAATTACAATATTTCAATCACTAGATCTTGAAATATCCTTAACATACAATTTTAAATTTTAAAATTTGCGAATTTCGCAAACTCGAAAAATTTCATAATTTACATATATAGTATTACACTTGAATAATACCTGTAATTAATATGCAATATTATGGTATAATACTTTTTCAACATTATGCTTGCATACCTTATTAAATTTTCTGATAAAACTACTTGAAAAGTACTATGTTAAAGATGCATTAAAAGGTATTACTCCAGAATATTATAAAAAATTTATCAATGGCATAACTAATTGAATTGGGAAGTTATTTTTGCAAATGGAGATAGAATTTATTATTAAAATTTTATCTAAATTAGTAAACAAAGACATAATGAATTTGTTTAACTTTAAATTTTTATTATTGCTATATTATATATATATAAGTTTTTCCAACTTGAAAAGTGGCCGGATAATTCTGATCGCCCTCTGTATATATAATTCTGCTTGAGTGGGTCACCATTTTTTTGCTTGTTTTTAGCTTCTAGACCCTATTCCTGTATAGTTACTACTCTGGGATACTTTAGGATACTACCACATCGACCACTTTGGAGTACTACCACATCGATCACTTTGGGGTACTACCACTGATCCAATATTTTACTAGCAAGCATATTCGTTCAAAATTATATAAAATTTTTATTTTGAACTTTGCTAGTTTCTCTGTTAGTTTATACTAGTTTCTTGCATATACACCATGCTTCTTGCGCAAAAAAATGCTAGCGAAAAAAAAGTTTTTTAAAGAGATAATACATACATTATTTATGTGAATCTAACCACATAAAAAATAGAGTGGAATATTCAATAAGAAATGGGCATGTTGCATATTTGAGAGTTTTTCATACAAATTGGGAATTATGGTTAGTTTAACTTTATTAATGGTTAGATCAAATTTCAAAGTCCAATACATAAAAGCACTAAAAATCATCCGATCTTTACATTTCCATATATGATCATCATACACTTGTAATTTGTTATGTGAATTATGACAAAAATTTTTTTTAAAGAAATCTTATTTAATTAACAATACACTTTATTTAATATTATTAAATATAAGGTGGTCCTAAAGTTATTGCATGGGAGTGTAATGAAATGAAATAGTTACCTGGTGTATACATAATACTGATGGGATATAATATATATAATTGTAATAGTAATAATAATACTTATTGTGATATGAAATTCTCAATATCAAAATCTGGTTCTTCCCCCTCAACATTTTCCCTTTCATTTTCAATGCTAACATAAATTATAAATAATATACTCCATAAATCTGCCCAGAAAAGTAAGAGCGAAATTGAATTGACTTCATTTTGGAATGTATAAAATAAAATGTAGTAATCTACTCCAAATAAAATGGTACTTATTATATATCCAACTATTTTCATTTTATATAAAAGTTCAAGGCAATAGAACACCACTAAATTAATAACTATAGCTAGAGATGGGCATATAACACGTTATATAACATTTATAACATATATAACATATATAACATTTTTTGATATTAGTTATATAACATATATAACATATATAACATTATATAACATTATATAACAAAATTGGCCAAAATTAATTTAAGTTAGCCGGAATTAAGTTCTAATTTCGGCACATATCACGTGACGTTACACAAGAATCCAAAAAAGGAAATTTTGTCTCCCAATAAAAATTGAGAAAATCTTTGACAGTTGTTACACAAGAATCAAAAAAGGAAATTATTTCGTCGATCACATCAGAAATTTTTTAATATAATTTTGGCTAGAATTATAGTCACTATACAATTTTTTTGGCCAGTATTATATTTGTTACACATTGTTATTTATGTTATATAACTGTTATATATGTTATATATGTTATATAACATTGTGTTATTTTATATTGTTATATAACATGCCCATCTCTAACTATAGCTGTAATATAAGAGTATTTCCAACCAAACTTGATCGCAATTACTACACTATAAATAACCATTGACAACGATATTAAAACAAGCATTATCCCGCCCCAAGTAAATAATTTTGGTGAGCAATAAGAAGTGAAGTGTCTTTTTGCTAATTCAAGAAAATTGACAATAAAAATAAGACTATCAAGTAAAACCAAATAGGTTATTGTTACACTATCAAGATTATTTGTTGCATAAAATACTAAAGGTTGATGACTAATTATCATAATTAATGTTAAAGGTATTGCGAGGATTATAATGGCTATTTCTATTTTTTTATTTAACTCGTCTTTTGAAATTAGAAATGTTATAATTGCTATTAAAATAGATGCAATAGTTCTCCAATATAAGGCCGTTGAAATTATTGTTAACTTGCTAAGACCATCTGCCACATATATGAATAAAGGTGGGAAAATGAATGCTATGAGGATTATCAAGGTTCCAGAGACAATAAATTTTGTTTTCATTAGTTCATTTTTTATACATTTAAAAATACACCATATTATTATAATACATGTTATTATTGAACAATAGAAAGCTATTAAAACTATCATAAACTTGCTGAAGCCTTGTGTTTTGTAACAGAATAGAAGGGGGAAAATAAGAGCTAAGAAGAATATCAAGATTAAAGAGATCATCGACCTGATAAATTTAAGTAGAAGTTTTTGTTTTGGAATAAGCGTAATTAAAAGAATTAAAGTGACGATTATATAGGGAACATATTCCTTTGTTTCAAAGTTAAACATATCAGAAATCGGTATTCTTGCTAATGCAGTAGGGAAAAAATAAGTTGAGAAGAATAGAAATTTGACGATTTTTTTAAACATTATTTTCCGTTTTATTAATATTAACTGTAAGCAAAAAAGTAATTTTCGAAACCCCTAAAAATCTTAATGGCTTAAATTTTATTTTATTTTATTTATAAGAAGTAATGGCTATCTTAATGGCTTAAATACAAAAAAGAAAACTAATAAAGATCATACGACATCGTGGGATGATTTTTTTTTATCGCAAGTTGTCACTAGTTGTACTAGTTGTTTGTGTGACAGAATTTGTTTTTATTATTGCAACAAGTGTTATTACACCAAGATTAACTACCCCAAGAACACCACCAAAAAATTTACTGTAACGTGACCGCAACAAATTTTATTGGCCAGATTTATTTTGTACAACATTGTCTTAGAATTATTTTTCGTGATATTTATTTACCGGTTAACTTCAATTTCTATATTCGACCTGAGTTTGCAAAGCGAACATCTCTCTGATCTCCGATCATATAGCTCAGCCTCGGATATGCCCAGAGATGATCATTAGTATTTTTCGCATATAATAATTTGGCAAATTTCAGCCGGGGCCCCAGCCAAAAACACATATTTTAGATAAGCTTTATTGGTATAATGGCTGAACTACGCGACCAAGTTTCCCAGTACATAGGCTTCGAACCTAACAAAATTCGTCTCCCAATCACAGAAGATGATAGGTGGGTGTTTCGTAAAATAATAGCAGATCAGGAAGGAATGGCAGATATCGTAATGGACGACTATCGATATTTACTACAGCATGGTCATAATGGTAAAGGAGGTAACCTGATCCATATTGGCTGGTTATTAGCATGTACAGTGGTCCAAGCTAAAAAAGTCTTAATAAATCCGCCCAAAGATTTACCAGAAAAGCTATTAGCTCACACCAAGAAAAGATTCAAAGATGTTCCATTTGCGCCAGTACTTATACGGTAGTCGATTAGGATTGAAAATAATAATGATCTGGTCTGGGCGAAAGGCGCTTTGCATGATCCCTATTTATATAATTTTCGTAGGTGAAAAATTGGTTACTTTTTTTCCATATATTCCATATTTTTTTCCCAACCACGATCCATATAATTGCAATAAGTAGTAAGGTAAGTATAGAATATATTAATATAGGCGACATCAAGAAGCTCGTGACGATAAGAGCAGTCGCCTGTAAAGATACCGCTTCTGTGCCACCCACAGAAATTATTTGGGACGAAGGATTAAGAGTGGAAGGTTGTGATGAATCATTCATAGGCAGGGGTAGAGTATTGGTTACACCACGATTTCCCGACAACCTTTTTTCCGACATACCCTTTGCCTGATAACGATCACCCGACAAGACATATTCCCGAATGTATATTTTACCAACATGACACATTCCCTAATGGACATTATACCGACATGTTAGTTCTCCCGACATGACATTATCCTGACAACACATTTCCCGACAGACATTTTCTCGACATGACATATACATTAAAAAAAGCGATTTCCTGAATTTCCCAATTATTTAAAATAAAACATATGGAGAAAATTTTTTTATTTGTTTATTCATATATTTATTTTAGTAAAAATTCGCAATTTCATGTACACTTTATATTTCATTTTTATAGTGCAAATTTTTAATAAAATAACTTGCAGCAACCCGTTGTGTCCCTACAAAAATTTATTTTAGTTGCATTTATTTATTTCCAGTTATTTTTTTTACAACTTTTTAAAAAAGAATTTGCCATAAGACAATTGTCTTATTAAATATATCCATGTCTTATAAAGTACAACGGTTTAAGAAACCTTTTTTTAAAAAAAAATTGTTATAAAATAGTTATTTTTTAAAAAAAATGATAATAAATTAAAAATAAATTTAGATAAAAAAGTAAATTAAAACGGTTTTAAAAAATTATTAAAAAAAATGAAATAATTATTAAATATATATATATATATATATATAAACCATGCTGGTCGTGAAAAATCACATTGAAAAAAAAGGAAAATAAAGAACTGTTAATAACAGTCATTTATATTTATATTTATAAACATGATACATTTACTTTTTGTAAATCATCTCAACATGTCAGGAAATTTCTGTTGGGATATGTGTTGTCGGGATAATGTCATGTCGGGAAAACTAACATGTAGGTATAATGTCTATTAGGGAATGTGTCATGTCGGTAAAATATACATTTGGGAATATGTCTTGTCAGGTAATCATTGTCAGGCAAAGGGTATGTCAGGAAAAAGGTTGTCGGGAAGTTGTCCGACATTGAGAGTACAGTCCCCTCTCGATATAATGAACCCTAGGTTCCAGCTGATCAGGGCTTCGTTATAAGCAACTTCGTTAACACTATAACGAATTATTCGGTATTGTATAATGAATTCTTCGGTATAGGAATATCGGTTATACAGATCATGTGACTTGTTGATCTGATTACTGATAATTTAACATTTTTTTTAATCTTTTTTTTATAGGGGTGCTTTCTAAACTTCAAAATAGATGCCTAGAATGAGAAGTAAGTGGGAACTGGGGGGTTTTTTATATTAATTTCGTTTAAAAACATTTACTAATGTTCTTTTTTTATTTTTTTTATTGTAGGAAACTTCCTGGAC